CTTTTCACCTGGGAACTCATTGCAAATGCAAGGTTTTGTGCTGCTATGCAAATGAGCCTGGCTACACACTATAATATTAAAGACAAACAAACAAACAAAATCCCCACAGCATCGCCCCCACCATCTGGATACCGAGTTCCTGACCGCCATCCACGTTATCCCTGGTGACCAGGGAAGTGAGCTAACAACTGATCTTGGTAGCGGGTACATTTAGGCATTGGCAAGGTTTCAGACCTCCCCGCCCCTTTCCCCCTCCACTAATTGCCCTTCTAAGATTGTGGCAGAAAACACACTGGCTCCTGCTTTGAAGACCACAGGGGCCTGAGTGAGTGAATGGCATTTTATTACTCTGCCCTTTAGAAATTAGCCTCCCGTACTGTCAGGCCCACCACGGAATTTTCCCCCACTTCTTCTTCAGATGTCAACCACCCAAATTTCAAATAACACTGCAGAATGGTGCCACCGGCTGATTTGACTGCATGTGGTACAGAGCTGCCTCTGGGCAGCCTGGGGGCCAAGGCGCTGTGGCGAGGAGGAAGTGGGGATTAACAGAACATTTGGAAGATTTTAGTTCAAAGATTCATCCATTAATTGGTTACTTTTGGTAAAACACACACACACACACACACACACACACACACACACACACCCACCCACCCACTCACACACCCACCCACCCACTCACCCCCCTAGTTTTATGAGAATTGCTCTTAAGTTGATGTGGGTAGAGGTTTGACCCAACTGAGTAATTCTTAGTGTTGGAAGCACAACAGCCAGTCTCCTAATTCCTACCCTACATAGCATGCCTATATTTTTAAATTAGAGCAAATTAAATTTGATTTTGTTTCAATAGTTGTTTTGACAATTTAAAGATACCTTTTAACACTATTTGCAGCACTGCAGACCTTTTCAAAACTAAGATTGGAATTAACTTTTGTAGCTATTCATCCTATCATTGAGTTAAGAACATAGGTCTTTTGCCCTGGCTGGGTAGCTCAGTTGGTTAGGGCATTGTCCCCCATACGCCAAGGTTGTGAGTTCCATTCCCAGTCAGGGCACATAGAAGAAACAGTCAATGAATGCATAAGTAAGTGGAAGATCAAACTGATGTTTCCCTCTCTCTCCCTCTCCCTTCCTTTAAAATCCGCTAAAATCAGTTAAAAAAACACACACACACGAGTCTTCGCATTTTCAACTTAACAGTTGAATTTGAAACCATATGGAAGCTTCAAGTTAATTAAACATTTCAAGAATTATTATAGACTATCCTTGACAGTAAAGCTATGCTGAATGCAGTATTTCCTTGATGATTATGAAAACATTTTCTGATAGCAAAATTATGAAAATCAGATTTCATTGTGATATTAATGTGAGGAATTTTTAGGTCAATGGAGACATCTGGAGGCAGAATTTTAGAGATAAAATAGACCTATGTTTCACTCCAGAAACTAACTAAAACACTTGGTCATTATGTACATATATATTGTTGAATGAGATAATGTGTATCAATGAACTACACACCACGTTGGCATATGGTATATTTTTAGAGAGTAGAATTTGAATATTATTTTCTCCTTGGGGATTAACTTCCTAGGAGTGTTTTTCTATATGCTTCTCTATCAGTCTCACTCATTCAGCAATACTTATTAAGCACATACTATTATATTTCCTTTCTTTTTAAGCCAAACCTTTATTCACATTTTATCGGCCCTGAAATTGTGGTAAGTTTTAACATTGACGGCAGCTTACATTACTGTCAGCCAGAGCAATCATGTCCCACCTGGCTGTCATTCCCAGTGGCACAGTTGGAAAACTGAGCCTCTTCATGTTCCTGTCAATTGATTTTTTTAAGGACCATTTGCAGAAGGCACATGAGCTATGGTCTTTTGAAGTCTAACACTTGGTAAGACCAGCAAGGCACTAGTCCTCAAACTTGCAAAATGGCGGGTCTCAATGGCTTGGAAGAAAATCCCAGAGATAACATGGAGCACTCTTTTAAGAAATGGGCATCACCCCCACCCAGATGGAACACGTGACACTGTGGGAAAAGTCGCAGACACTGACCACTCTGAATTGCAAAGGTAATTCAGCAGCGTTAGATCTTGAATATGAAGAAATTTAAGAACCTGAACTGATTTAGTTTGCTTCTATTTTCCTTTTTATGTATGTGTGAGAGAGATATGATGAATATTACTATATAATTCTCATACTAAGTAGAAAAATGTCTAAATAATAAGAAAGCATGATGTCATGGTTTCAATAAACATGATGCTACAATTTTTTAGAGGCTTTTTTCTTGTTTCTTAATGGTATATAAAATAGTGATACATTTCATCATCAATGGTGCCTTCAGATTAATGGATTCTGAGTACCTGCTAGACCCTGTACTAAGCTTTGCAGATACAATTAATTAAGTAGACATTTATTGACTGCCTACTGTGTGCCCCAAACTTGCTATGTGCTGTTTCAAACTCCTAAGGAAGTTTTCCTGGATCCAAAGAAAGACATTATACAATGTTTCCAGAGAAGGAATAAATACTCTAGTGGGGGGAAATGTATAATATATTATGAAGTGTATCACAAAGAGTTAAACACCAGTGTCTAAAACACAATCCCTGTTCTGAAGGAATTTACAACCTAGTGTCAAAGTTTGAAGGAAGTTTCAAAATGGTGAGTAAATGCCATGAACTCCTGAAGGGTCTGGAAGAACTCAAGGGCGCATGAGGATTAGCCAGCTGAAGAGCCAAGAAGAGTATTCCGAACAGGATTGTTAGGTTTAAAAGCCAACTAAGAGGGAGGCTGGTGAATTCTTCCAACCATAAGGAGTTCAAAAGGCAGAGCTTGCAGAACAAGGGCCAAGAGCCGAGCTTGGAAAGTAGGCAGGGCCTGGAAGATCTTGCAGGCGAGGGTGTCTTTTTGTCTTTATCTCAAGAGTTATGGAGTTTTACTCACGGTATAGGCATGTTAAAATTTGTATTTTAGAAATATCACTCTTGCTTGAATGTGGAGAATGATTTTCTCTCTTCCCCTCCCCTGCAAGCGAAGAAGGCAATTGTTGCAAGAATTTAGACAGTTGATGATGGTAGCCATATTAAGTTGCTCAATTTTCCCAACTCGACTGGATCTTTATCCCACTTGTGTGTGGGCTTTAAAATAAAATGTTGACTTCGGTAACCTATGAACTCTGCCCAAGGGGTGCCCTGTGACAGAGACTACAATCATTTTTAAGTGAAGTCCTGTCAAGTTATTTGACTAGATAAGCATGTTGATAAACCCACTGAACCAATGAGCCACTGATCAATAAAAAATGCCATCTCAATTACATGAAAAAGTAAAAAATCAAAGTGCGTGGTTGCTCTCCTGAGCTTCTGTGAGACTGAAGAATTTCCATCTGAGATTTATCAAAGGGTCTTGAAAGCCAAAGAATGGTTTAGATAAAACTCAATTGATTTTGTGTTTCTGCCAGAACTCAGCTTTCTACAGGTCACAGCCTGTCAGGTGTAAAAAAAAGATGAAAAATCATAATTTTACCAGGGCTTCCTTTCATGATTTAGAAGGGAGAGGGCCCCAGCGAGTGCAGGACTGATAAATGCTGGCACTGTGTCTGTTTCAGTAGATGTAAATGAAAATGCCAAAAGGCTCAAATTCAAAGGGAGGATTCTGTACCTGAGAAATGTCATTTTTCCAAAGAAGTCCCACTTCTTTGGAAAAGCACCAGGCTACACGGTTTCTTTAGCATGGTCGGCCAGGAAGACAAGTGTTCCAGTGCATTCTTGCCTCCCCCTGATAGCAGCAACACCACCGCGCTTTCTTCTCTGGAGCCCGCGGAAGGCTTGGAGACCGAGCCACTGGGCTGTTTCCTGAGCCACCCTGGAAGGCTCTGGACCCAGGGAGAGTGCTGACAGCTGTTCCTCAGAGATGCATGCCTTTCTGAAAGTAGTGGCATTTTCTAAGCAACCTCTTGCAAGGGAATAAGAACGGGCTAACGAAGTCATCTCTAGACATTTTATCCTCATTTGCTTTTGTATTTCTGGGTGTGCATGGATTTATCCCTGCAGGAAACCATTTAAAGAATGTAGATAATACCTACCAGTGTTGTGAGTCACCCTGTCAAGAGAGTAATGTACAATCCCGCATCCTTGTAAGTTATTTATCATACCCCGAGGCTTGATGGAATACAGTTTCCTTGATGAAGAGATAAAAAGGAGCAACATAAAAGCAAGGTAAAAGAATACTTCATTAAAACTGAATCTACCTTCTGGTCTTGTTTTTTTCCTTTTTTTAAAATTAGTATTACTAAAATTTGTCATCACAGAATTTACTTTGTAGAAACTGTTTTCAGAAAATGAAGAGAACAGTGAGGAAGGGAATAAGGTTGGAAAGGGACAGAAATACAGAGAGATGGAGAAAAGCTGAGAGAGAAAGAAAGAGAAGAAGGAAGGAAGGAAGGAAGGAAGGAAGGAAGGAAGGAAGGAAGGAAGGAAGGAGACGGGAGGGAAGGAAAGAAAGAAAGAAAGAAAGAAAGAAAGAAAGAAAGAAAGAAAGAAAGAAAGAAAGAAAGAAAGAAAGAAAGAAAGAAAGAAAGAAAGAAAGAAAGAAAGAAAGAAAGAAAGAAAGAAAGAAAGAAAGAAAGAAAGAAAGAAAGAAAGAAAGAAAGAAAGAAAGAAAGAAAGAAAGAAAGAAAGAAAAGGAGACAGAAAGAAAGGGAGACAGAAAGGAAGGGAGACAGAAAGGGAGAACAGGAGAAAGGGAGACAGAAAGAAAGAAAAAGGGTGGGTGGGTAGAGAGAAACTAAAGAAACTGACTTCTGTAGAACTGGAATACGGAAAACACCATTAAAGAGAACAATCTCCCAAGAATGGAAATGAACAGCTCTGAAAAAGCAATAGCTTTTTGCTGTTGAAATCAGTGGGAGGACTTTGCAGAAAAACATCCCCTCCCCCCACCACACTCCCAAGGCCAGGCTGTAAAATGAGATTGTAGACAACAGGATTAGTCAGCAGGAGCACTGAATTCTAACTTGAACAAACCAGTACTTCCACCTGAAATCCTGGGGGCTGAAGCACAGGCTTCTGAGGGCTTTAACAGCCCTTGGATTCTCTATCTCTCAAGGTGGGTCATGTAGCCACTGAGAGGTAATGGGCTTGGGGCCAAGAAGGGGTGAAGAAGTGAGAAAAATAATGTTTTATTCTTTGTTGATATTTATTTCAAATTCTAGTTTGTTCACCCTTCCTCTCTCGTTGCTTTACTAGACTAGAACCTCAGGAGTAAATAAACCTCAGGAAGAAGAACAGCTGCTTTTCAGGACAATATTAAGGGTAAGCAAAATAGAGAAATGCAAGAAATAAACGTTTAATCTTGTAGTACTGTTTCTGTTTAAAAGGACTTAAATTTGAACTTTATAAATAATATATGAGTACAATTTTTTGTAAAAGGTGAAAATATTACATATGAGGCTAAAGTCCCCTTTCACCATTATTCTTAATCCCAAGTCTCCCTCAGCCTCTCCCAATTTATCATGTTTACTTTACAGATCTTCTTCTAGGTAGAAACTATACAGTATAGTTTTGTGTGTGTGTGTGTGTGTTTTTAATATAAATAATATGGGTTTATAATATTTTTTATTAAATTCAACTTGTAAGAATCTGTGTAAGTTTAAGGTATATAGCATATTACTTTGATATTTGTTACAAGTTTGCATCCTTAAACTCCATTACTCTTTTTTTTTCCAGAGATTTCATTTATTTATTTTTAGAGAGGGGGAAGGGAGGAGAAAGAGAGAGAGGGAGAGAAACATCATTGTGCAAGAGAAACATCGATGGGTTGCCTCTCACTTGCCCCCAACAGGGGACCTGGCCAGCAATCTAAGCATGTGCCCTGATCAGAATCGGAGCAGCAACCTTTTGGTGTGCGGAACGACGCCCACCCCACTGAGACACATCGGTCAGGACAATACCATCACTCTTATCCCCTCCCCAGTACTTCCCCTCCCCTGGTAACCACCATTTTATTTTGCTTTTTACAGATTTAACTTTTTTTGGATTCCACCTATGCAATATCATACAGTACTTGTCTTTCTCTGTCTGACTTACCTTGTTTAGCGTAATGTGGTCTAGGATTATTAAGGTGTTACAAATGAAAGAATATCCTCCTTTTCCCATGGCTAAATAGTATTCCACTGTTTGTATGCACCACATCTTTTTTTATCCATTCATCTATTAATGGCCATTTGTGTTGTTTCCATTTTGTGACTATTGTGAATAATTGGGCAATAAACATGGGGGTGTGCATATCACACAGAAATCCTGTTTTTATTTCCTTTGAGTGTAAATCCAGAGTGGAATTGCTGGATCCTATGGTAGATCTATTTTTAATTTTTTGAGGAAACTCTTTATAGCTTTCCACAGTGCTTGGACAAATTTACATTTCCATCAATAATGTATAAAATTCAGTATAAGTTTTTTATATTGCCATGACTTAGATGTGTGTCCCTATTACTTAAGCTCCGTCTCATTCTTTTAAACTGTTTTGTAGTATTGTGTGTCATAGACAGTCATAATTTATTTAGTCATTCACCTATTATTTACAATTATGTGGCCTTGAGGTTGTTGTTTGTTTTTAACTCCTGAAAATACATGCTGCAAAGACCATCCTTATGCATGTCTCCTTGTTTATGCACCAATGTGGTTATTTGCTGCTCTAAGAAATAATTTGGTTTCTAGTCTTTGGGACTCTAGGTCTTACAAGGGCAACTTGAATTCAGCTACACGGTATAGAGGGTCTGAAAAATTGCCTCAAAATTGGAGGGAAGGGAAGAGTTACATTTTAATCTTAGCAAAACATTAGCCCACTTCCCAGGTACCTAAAACGACTATTAGTTTTCCAGTCTCAATGATTAACTATCAGTTAAGAACATAATGTATGGCATCACCCCCCTCCCCTGCCCCGCAAATACTGTGATATCCTTTCTTTCTTTTGTAGCTTGCATGTTATATATACATTTCAGGGATAAAAAAATGGTAGCCATTTCATATTTATATGAAAACATGTGTAAACCAAGACTTTCATCTTTATACAAAGAGCCACTCTGTAACATTTTTTTAAAAACTAAATGACTACAATGAGTGCATGAGATGGGAAAGAGAGAAAAAGGAATGCTGTCAAAATTGGAAAGCATAGTCCGTATACAGTCATCGCATAGTCTATACTGGCAGCGTCAGGATCAATCCAGTCGCAAATCCTTTGAGCAGCTGTTTGCATGCCATCCCCTAATGAAGCTCTTTGAGTGCTCTGTTATTAATGTGATGAAGCAGGAAAAGGAATAAAGAGAGACAATGGGCTAAAGGAGATACATCCTAAAGAAAGACTCCCTTTCCCCAGCCACTTGTGGAAATCCATTTCAGGTCAACTGGGACCAATTGTGAGTTCTGGCCTTGGGCTAAATTCTTATTTGCAGTCAATAAATTAATGGGTGACACCTTGAAATGGGTTGCACTTTAGCTGAATCAATGTCTGCTGTGGCAATCTATCCTCAGGCCAGATTCCCACTGAAGGTCATAGGTTGGGATTGACTGAAGATATGGACAGATTCTTAGAACTTTCTTCTATTTTTAAAATCACTACTGAAAAAGCAGAGTATAATATTCTGGTGCTAACATTTTCTCTTTCTTATTCTTACTCATCCTGACTTTAACTGGATGGAAGAACTCCTGATATTATAGATTTCACTTATGCAGAACTCCATCATGTACAGATTTCTTTATTTGGCTGATTCTAGTTTAATCTATTTCCTCCAAGAAAGTTTCCCATAAGGCCAAAGAGGGAACTGTTTCGTTACAGTAGCTCCTTTTGAAACCTCTAGGCAGCAGGAAGCAGAGAAGCCTGCTCTGTTGGTTCAGCTGGCTTTTACGGCTGAAGATAACACGCACCACAAATCTGTTGGAGTTCGTGTTTTCTTGGAGGGGGAGGAGAATTCGGGGAGCAAAATAAAGAGAAGTTGAAGTTTAATATTTCATAACTGTGTGCTCTTTTCCAGGTTTTATTCCTGTAATATTCTCGGTGTGTGGCCAGGCCCTTCATAACACAGCCCTATTGAAAAAGGAGAGGGGAAAGGAAAAGGGAGGAAGGGTGGAGGTGGAGACTGAAAACTCGCCTTTGGGGGAAAAAACGACCACTGCTTTTAAGTACCAATCATGACCTTAACTGGATAGTCAGAGCCTCATGGAACTGAGTTGGCCATACATTCTGAAACTAGGATAGAGGGCAAGCATGGGTATGGCATTTGTTGTGAGGCCAGAAGAGAGAAGTGACCCATTTAGAATCTTCTCTGAAAAATGTGGGTTCCTGAGGCATCAGAAATTTGAGTTTTCCTTTCCCTGAGAGTGTACTGGGTAATGTCTGCTGGAAAATTAAAAAAAAACAAAACAAAACAAAACAAAACAAAACTGAGGGACAAATATGGTTGAAATATTGGAGCAAAATCTTTTTTGTATTTTGGAATCATTTTGTGGAACTAAAAAATAGGAGAAAGATTTTTTTAAATCTCTGGAAAAAGAACAAGTATTGGCATATCCATATTAAGTATGCAATGCTGTTTCTGCCATCAGACTGGGAGTGCAACAAGCTTAGCTGCTTAGGAGAAGCACAGTTTATTCTCAGATTGGCCACGAAATTTCCTGCCTTTGGAGCAAAAACCAGTACAGCCACTGTACCCTGACAATATTTTTTTCTCTCTGAATACCATAACCTTTTAAATAACAAGCATGCTGCTCTTTTAACAGCTCCAAAGACATGGATGGAGAAATACAAGAGTACCATTTTATCCCTTCCTCTGGGTCTATACGCCATTGCTGGGGTTTCTGAATGTAAAGGTAGAAGATGACAGTTGGTTTGATCTCTCAAGGGTAAGAAAACATAACTGAAACACACAATAGTAATCAAGTCACATAGCCTTGAAGAGAGGTCATGAAATTAGGGCCAGTTATGCTGTCTGGGCTGGGTGGGGGTCTGTCAGAGCAGAGCGGGGGGTGCTGGGCAGGGCAGAGGAAGCGTGAGGAGAGAGTGGTGCCATGATGGGAAGGTTCGTGAATGGTGAGCAATGACAAATGGCAGTTCACATTCATGGACAAATATTTCTTCAGTGAATGATCACAGAGCTAAAAAGACCTCAGATTTCTTATAGTCCAATGCCTTATTTTACCGAATGACTTGCTAGGGTGAATGCCGCAGTCAAGCCAAGATTCAAGGGCTCTTGTCTGCCAGGTTGGTGTTTTCCATTGCTTGGAGTTGGGTATTTTACCATTCAGGTTAAAACACACAGTCTCTGTCTTCTAGTAGCTTACAATTTAAAATGTCTTATTTCCCAGGAAAAGGAGTAGTTTGGGGAATGAATTAGCACTAAGATGATAAAAGAAGATGCTTGCTTCTAAGCCTGTGTCACTGGGTTACCCGAAGGAAACCACTGAGCATGTCTGTACTTCCCAGAGAATCAGACAGAAGGGGAGACCAGGGCAGCTTCTTTAGCATTTTAAGAGTTAGTGGCTCTGTACTAAACCAATGTAGACTCTTTAATGTGCTATGAGGGATAGGCGAGCGTTCAGACCTAAAGCTAAATTTCTCATTTGAAAGTATGACATTGGAGTAATAGTGCTACCTGTCCTGTTTCTGTATCAAAGGTCAATGTAGGTTCTCATGGTGATGTAAAATGCCCTGGTTCTGTATTTCATTCTTTACACACAAGTCCCACATTTCAGCTTCCTGAGTGACTTCTGGTAAGTCATCCTCAAATGATTCCTGGCACTGACCTCATAGAGGGTTAAACTTCCTTTCACAAACCAAGGGCTACACATAGAGGAGGAGACTACAAAGGAGGGTCTTGTTACTTATTTTATACCAATTGAGAGAAGAGTGCCAAAAGGAGAAAAATGCTGTGGCATAATTTTAAAAATCTAACTTCATAAGAAATTTTTACAGAGGTTTTCAGTCCACTTTTTCCTCTCTCCTCACCACCCCACCTAAACCATATTTAAACATGTCCTTATTCAGATAAGAAAAACTATTTATGCTACTGCACTCTATGTTGAAACCTGGGAACAAAAGATTTGAGTAGAGGTGGTGCAGACAGGGGTTAGTGATGTTGACCGACTGGATTCCCAGCCTTGGACCAGAAGGGATTGAGGGCAAAAATTTTCCTGTGAGGCTTCCTTTATCCTTCCTATTAGCAGAACTGAAAGAAACATGTGATGGAAGTAAAAAGGCACTCCACCCTCATTCCTCTGCCCCAGCTACCTCTTTCTGAGAACTGAGATGAAGAGAACAGTCACATCCGTTAATGCCTCTGAGAATTTATAGTAAACCTATTTTGTTGGAGAGCAGGAAGACACTAGGAAGACACTAGGAACACAGAGTTGAGTTTAGCTAATATCTATGTAGAAAACTACAGTGTCTTCTTTAACAAAGATTTGGGTATTAACCCCTCAAGAACACTGTACTGGTCCTTGTTACATCTTGCAACCTTTTCCTGATATAATTTTTCAGAGGTGGAAAACACGTAATGAAGAATTAACGTCTAGGGAAAAGCAGAGCGAGCTGCTGGACACTTCCATGCTATTGCATGAGGATATGCAGACAAGCTGATACAGTGAATGTTTAAACAGCCCAGAATGAGGCAATATTAAAAATATTTATTTTGGTACCCAAAGTAGGTGTTGACATTTATATGAAGGGCATGCAGACTCACTCAACGGTCTTTCTGTACATTGCCATGCTGTCTAAAGGGTC